TGGCTGGGGAAGCATGGGAGTTGAAGTCCACGCATCTTCAAGTGCCCAAGGTTGAGAAACACCGCTCTAAGGATCCACATCTTATTTTCTCTAAGCCTCTCATACATGCAGCTTAGAATTTATCCCTTGTGCCCATTTCTGTTTTTGATGAGTGGGATTTGTTCAAGACCCCTCCTTTCTTTGGGGCAAGCAGGTGAAAATTGCAGGGTTAGGTGGTAGCTCTTTTTCTCCCTCTGTTAATATAATGTAAAGGCATCCAGAGGTGTCTGTGTTTATTTACAACCTCCACGGTTTAGCAACTGCAGCGGTACGTAAAACGATTCGGGGAGATGGAAACGCACGGGGTCTGTGGGTGGAAAATCTCAAGGGGCCTCCTTTGAGGCTCGAGGAAAGCTACTTCTTGGCACGAGGAACATCGGAGAGAAAGCAACTTCCAAACCCAGCAGTGCTAACTCAGGGAAATAAAAAGAGTTCCCAGATGTAGAACAGAAAGGCTCCGCTTAACTCTCGGGAGCTGGGGTGGGGCGAGGCCACCAACGGAGAATTTTCTCTTCCAAAAAGCATTCATCAACACGCTGTGTTGGAAGACAGATTCCTTCAGACCCCCCGCTTGAGCATCTGTTGCCCCTTTTCTAGCTCAGGTATTTGGCACCCCGTGTAATGTCTCGGATGGATGGATGGAAGGAAGGAAGGAAGGAAGGAAGGAAGGAAGGAAGGAAGGAAGGAAAAATTGATAGATGGACAGATGGAATCCGGGGGAATAATCTCCCACTTCTGTCTTCTCATAAATGGATGGATTTGTGAGAGGCCAAGCTTCCTGGGTAGCCATTTTGTGAGTGTGCCTGTGACCCCATTTCCAAATCTGCCTCTCGGTTTTAAAAGGCGGCTTTCTCTTAATTTGCTAATGTTGCCTGAGTGGTCAAGAAGCTCTTTAGCCTGCAGAAGGTCCTGGGTTCAACTTCCAGGCATTTCCAGTTGAAATTCCAGGCCTTATTGCGGCTTTTTAACACGGTTGGGGGAGAATTTGATCTTTCTTCCTGATCAGCACGACCAAACGTCTTCGTAAATGTTGGCGGTGTATGTGAAGGAAAAAAAAAAGGGGGGGAGCCCAGCCTCACATTTTTCATCTGCTCTTCAAGCAGCTGCCTTCTTTCTAACCTTCACGGTCCTTGTGCGCTCACCCAACGGTTCCCCTGGCTGGGGATGTTGGGAGGTGTAGTCCAGGGCCCAGCCTCCCCATTTCTGCTGACAAGCATCGAAATGGGTGGGCGCCGAATTGACTCAAGCGCCGCCTGCAGCGCGCAAAACCAAATCTAAAAAAGAAATCAGAGATTGAAGCGGGCTTGGAATTTCCCTGAGTCCCACAAAAGCCTGAGCAGACCTTTTCTTCCTTGTACAGCTCTGGCCCGGGCTCACACGGGCTTTTTCCCCCTTGAGCGAGGCAGCGCTGGCGAGGCGGCGGCACGGGGCATGAAGCCAACCTTGGGCGTGATCTCCGTGGCAGCGTCTCTCTTGCCCTGGCTGGGTTGGGGGCTGCGATGCCTGGAAAACGAGTATCCCCTCCGCAGATGGAAATGTTGCAAATACTGTCCGCCAGGTTAGTGATGTGGAAGACGAGGGGCTTCTCCAAGGAGAACCGGGGGGAGTTCGAATCCACCGTTTCTACGTTTACAGTCCCCCTGGACCGCCCCGGTAGCAGACATCCGTTTTTCTCCTTTGCAGTCCGGTGCTGCTCCATCTAAACTTTTTTTTCCCCCTCAATTTGATGGAAATGAAGTGGCTTTTGGCTTCTTTTCCTTGCAAAGCGAAGAAAATTCAGATTTTCTCGACTGCAGTGGGGCTCTTTTGCTTATCGAGCTGGTAAGTTACTCCAAGAATCTAGGTGAGGATCCTCGGTTTGGCTGACGGTGTCACTGATCCCCTATCATTTTTTAAAAAATATATATTTAATCTAAAAATTGACATCTGGGGCTGACTCTGCCATGCTTTGGCTTTGCCGTTGACACCCTCCTGGATGCTTCTCGGACCTGCCAGTCTAGCCTACCGAGTTAGAAGCTCCTGGTGGTCTCCCATCCAAAGACTCCAAAGGTCTGTCTGCTTTCAATTTGGGGATCAGACCCCGTTAACTAGATGCTGCCCCTTTAAAAAAAAATAATCCCCTCTAAAAATAAGGTTGGTGTGGTTTGAGTTGCAGCGTTGATCACTTGTGGATTTGAAAGGTCCAGGGAGGGTGCGTGTATCTCACTGGAGGCAGAAACTCCAGCGGGTTCAAGAGGGTTGTGAGAATCAATAAAACCAGGGAGATGTTCAGCATTTCAGCCATGCCATGCGAAGATATTTCCCTTCCATTTCTCCCTTTCCTTTTTAAGTGAGCTTTCATTTTCCTGTCCTCCTAAATACGCTGAGTCTTATTTTGTGTTTGGTATTTGTGTGTGGGTGTGACTGCTGGACTGTGGATTACAATTCCCATCCTCCTTGACCATTGCCCGTGGTAGCTGAGAGGTGTTCAGCAGGATTGGGCCGGCTACTTTCTCTGTTAGTTGAAGTGTCCGGCTAGTTGGAGAGAGCACCGCGTTTGAATCCCTCCTCGGAAGAAAGCTGATGCGCCCTCCTCAGCCTACCTCGCAGGGTTGTTTGGAGGGCGACACGGAGAAGAGAAGGCGATCCCTTGAGCTTTTTGGAAGATGGGATGATGCTTAGGGCAACAGTATGCCTATCCCAAATGCACGCTGAAGCCTTCCGAAGATGATAGCCTTTCCCCCTCCAAACGTCTTCTCGCCTTTAGGAAAACAGCTGGAGAAACGTTGCACCGACACGTCAGAAACCGTTTGCGAACCCTGCGAGGAGAATTACTACAACGACGCCTATACCTACTCGTCGTGTAAACTTTGCACAGACTGTGACTCCGGTAAGGCTCCCCCGGCAAAAGCGATTTCGGGTGGCCGAGGCAGAGGGGGAAGACGCGGAGTTTGACGATGATGGGGAGGCTGAATCCTGCCTCCTTCGCAGCAAAAGTTGCCTTCTTGTGGTTTCGCAGCCGTGGCTCTGGCGTTGTTTATCCTCGGTTGCTTTTTCCTGTGTTGTAAATTAAAAAGAGAGAGAGCGAGGTCGTGAAGCGTTGGCGCGGGGCTCGTCCTCCCTCGCTGAATTTCCCCCCGTTTTCCCCCGCCCGTGTCAGCAAACCCCAGCTAGAAACGCAAATCTCTGGTGCCCCAACCTGCTGCCTTCGCACTCCAGAACCGCTAAACGTTTGGTCTTTAGTCTTTCGTCCTCCCCTTGGCTCCAGCCCTTACTCCGTCTTCAGGGCGTGGGTTTTCCCAGCCCCGAAGAGAGATCGCCCGGTAGCTGCACCTGATGGACCGACGGCCCGCCATCCATGCACCACAGGACCGAGGGGCTAGCGGCTGGGACCCCCTAATAGGAGCTCCCCTGCTTTCCTTTGGTGTTTTATTTTCCTAGAGCGAGGCCTCCGGATGGTTAGGCCGTGCCAAGGGACCTCGGATACCATCTGTGCCTGTCTTCCCGGCCACTCTCCGGAGGAGAGCGAAGTGGAGAAAAGTAAGTAAGGAGGATGGGTTTCTTGCAAGAGCGAGAATGAGCCGGGCCCATCAAAAATGCCACCTACTGGGGTGGCTCGATCATTCCCAGGGCGCTCATTTTTGGAAACCGGGGACGTTTTCCAAACGTCATCCCAAATGCACGTGCTTCCTGATTGGCTGTCCCCTCCCCTTGGCGCGGCGTACATTTATTTATTTGATTATTAGAGGTCTTTCCTGGCCCAATCGGAAGGGATTCTGGGTGGTGGGTAGGAAAGGTGGGATATAAATCAAGCACCCCCCCCAAAAAAAAATCCACAGGAGGCTTCTAGCCAATCAGCAATCCTGCTGGCTTTTGTTAAAAGCCTCAGCCGCGTCTCCCATTTTTCAGGATGCAAAGCCTGTCCCAGCGGGTATTTTTCCCGAGGAGGGGATGAGAAATGTCGCCCTTGGACAAAGTACGTATTTGCTCAAACCTCACCCTGAAGGGACTTGGTAAAAACCTCAAGTGGAAAGTGGGTTGCGGTCAGCCCTGCGAGGTAGGCCAGGTCAAGACATGGCCTAGAAATTCCGAGGGATCCCCAGGGCGGGGCCGCCCTTTCGCTTCGCCCACCTCCTCCTCAAGGCCAGAGCCCCCCCAAAGTCGCCCAAACTGGAGAGTGCCTTGCTTCGACCCATCCTTCTCTTGGTGGAATGGGATCGAGAGCCCACCTTGCTTGGATTGAAATTAACGTTGAATGCCGCGAAGGAAATGCAGCTGGGTACGGTTGCTCCTCGTGGGTTTAGAGGTACTTCCCTTTTGCCCCGTTGCAGAGAGCGAATGTGGGGGCAGGAATGCAAGGTCTGTGAACGGTGAAACGAGATTGTGAACGAAATCTCAGTCCTAGGAAAGTGGGAAGCGTAAGGTAGAGATTTAGAACAGCAAGGAAGAGATTTAACACTTTAAGACCTGTGGACTTCAACTCCCAGAATTCCCCAGCCAGCCATGCTGGCTGGGGAATTCTGGGAGTTGAAGTCCACAGGTCTTAAAGTTGCTGAGATTGAGAAACACTGATTTAAAACAACCCAGCCTGGATTCCTTTTGGTATAAGAGAGGGCAGGGAGCAACTGGCCTCTTTTCAAGAGTGTGTTGTTATAACCCGCAAGAATAAAACAGAGTTCCAGATTGTTTCTTCACCTGATCTACCTCGAAGAGCTGATTTATTTTCAAAACTGAATCCCAGTGCCATCTTTTGATCCGTAACCGCATCCCATCCTTTCCCTTGGACTCTGGCTGCCTGGGGGGGAAAAAAACCTTTCTCTCTTTTAGTTGCACAGCGAGCGGCAGGAAAACCCTGCATCCCGGGAAGGAAGACGCCGATGCGATTTGCGACGCCGCGTCCTCCGAGGTTCCCACCCTGCGCCCCGTCACGCAGCCCCCGCCCTTTAAAACGGGGGTCAGCCTGTTGACTAGGGTGCCCGATTCTTCTGAGATTGTTTTGGCTAAAAATCAAGGTAAGGGAATGCCAGGCACGTGTGAAGGGCCAAACAAGTTAATCCCCAAAGGGTAGAGAGCCCAGCAGATTTGCAAGGTGGGTGCTTTCTCGCTTGCCAAAAATCGGGAGAAGAGAAAAAGGTCTTATTTGAACTTGCAAAAAGTTTAGCTTCAAACCGTTCTACATTCGGAGCGCCCCAGATCGAACCGTTTTGCACCCCGTGATAGAAAATGATATATAAAATGCAAGTTGTACATGGACGTTTCTCTCCGGCTTGGAATAGCCTAAAGCGGGGGCCGTCCTTTGAAACTAAATTTGGGCAGATTCAGAAGGATAAATGGAGTTTTTTGGGAGGGTGGGAGGAATGACCAGAGGCCATCTCCTATATAACAGGCAGCAGATTTGGCTACATCTGGTCAGATGATAAGAATGGTGATGAAGATGATGATGAAGATGATTGCAATAATATATTGTGTGTTGCTCTTTGGCACCCGATCGGCCCCAACCCATGGTTTTCTCCCAAGCCAGGCCCGAAAAGAAACTTTGGGGGGATCTTGGACCAAACCAGACCAAACCAGAGCATTTATAAGGAGCTGAATATTTGTGGTTTGACCAAACCAGACCAAACCAGAGCATTTATAAGGAGCTGAATATTTGTGGTTTGGAATATGGGAAGCGGAAAATATTTCTCCCAACCCTGGAATAGTTTAGCAGGTTTTTTTTTTTAACCCTGGCTCCAAATTTTCCCTGGAAAACCAGAAAACTCCCCAAAGTCTGCGATTCGAGCTCCGTATGGTTCGCTCGCCCCTAACAGCCAGGGCCGTTCATTTTAAACCCATCCCAGGGAAATTTTTCTGGATTTTTTTCCTCCTGTTTTTAAGGGTTTGTTTGGTTTCTCGCCATCGCTATCCTCCTCTTGACACCAGCCGGGCTCTTGCTCCTCCCCCTCTTTTGTCGGCGTACGACGAAAAAAAAAGCCCGGAGACACTGCCCGGACAATTTTGGAGGT